GTGGGGGCTCCGCGACGTCGCCGTGAGCTCCTCGAGGAGGCCGAGGCGCTTCGCGCAGTCGTGGCTCACGAGGCGCCCGAGCGTCCGGAGCCGCGACAGCGACACGACGTAGCAGGGGTAGTGGGCGACGAGGGGGCTGATGCGCAGCTCCGCGGACCCGAAGAGCCGCGGCTCGACGCGCTCGTAGAGGCGGCCCGCGCCCGCCGCGACGGGGCTCGCGCAGACGCGGAGCGTCTTCGTCCGCAGCGCGCGCGCGGCCGCGCGCAGCCCCCCGCGCGGCGGCGCCGGCTCCGGCGCCGCGATCTCGAGGGCCTCGTAGGGCCGCCGCGCGAGCCAGGCCATGTCGCCGTCGACGTCCTTGGGCGGGGGCGTCGCGACGCGCGACGAGCCCGGCGGCGTCGGCTCGCCGCAGCTGCTCGGCGCCGTGGGCAGCCGCGCCGTCGAGCTCGGCGACGCCTCGAAGGAGCCCGCGGACCGCGGCGACGGGTCGTCGGCGAGCTCGACGATGCCCAGGCGCCCCTCGAGCGCCGCGAACGGCCGCGCGCGCGGCCGCCGCGGCGACGGCGCGCCGCGCGGCGACGACCCGCGCGACTCCGGCGCCGGCGCGCCGCCCCGGCGCTCCGCCAGGAGCCGGTCGATGATGTCGTTCTGCATCATGCGGTCGTAGTCGAGCTCGCACTCGCGGAAGGACGCCTCGAACGCGTCCGCCTCCACGCGCCGCTTCCGCTGCTCCTCGAGGTAGCGCGACAGCGACAGGCCCGCGAGCACGGCCAGGTTCGCCACGAGCGCCACGAAGCCGAGCAGGACCCGCGGCACGTCCAAGAACCGCGTCGAGCACAGGAACAGGATCAGGAAGGAGCACGCGACCTGCCACGCGCCCGCGACGCCGAGCGCGTTCGAGCCCGGGTCCGCGTACGGCGCGGCCGTCTCGATGAGCAACAGGAACGCGAGCGCGATGGCCAGGCCCGCGAAGCAGCGCGTCGCGTCGGACCCCGCGAAGACGACGCCGCCCGTGAGCAGCACGCGGCGGCCCATGTCGACGCACTCCCAGTAGTACGTCGGCGGCCGGTAGGACGCCCAGAGGAACGCGGACGCGGCGAGGTCCGCGTCGTCGGACCGCGCGCGGCTCAGCGCGTCGGCCTCGAGGGCGTCCGCCGCGTAGGCCGTCGGGTCCAGCGCCCGGCGCCGCCGCCGGAGGTAGACGAAGATGGACAGGGGCACGCCCACGGGCCAGAGCGCGACGACGATGGCCGCGAAGAGGCGGAAGAGGCCGTAGCGCCGGCCGCGGCAGGACA